AGAAATGGAGAGGGAAAATTACTAAACTCGACTGCAGTGCATTCTGGCTTCAATGTGATCACCGTCAAACCCGGGAGGGATTGAAAAATATGATACAAATTATGCTAGGAAACACTGACAATATCTGCAATGTAACTTGCCATTGGATAGAGCTGTTTATTTCTCACTTTCTCTATGTCAGGCCATTCACAGTGGTAATGCCTAATTACATTATCCTACTATTAGTTATTTTGCAGCTTTGGGCATAGATACAATATGAACTTATGTACTTGTCATCTCTTTGTAATACATTATCATGTGTAGCAGCTGGACTCTGAAGTAGACAACTAATTTCTTTTCTTAAATCAGGGTCTTGAAAGCATGTATAGCCTAGCCCAGAAATGCATGCAGTTGAAACCAATGTCTAGTGCCCATGGGTTGATAGCAATTATTCTTGGAATCCTTGGGGAAAATACTGAGGTAAACAGTTTGGGTTAGACACTGATAGTATACAAATCTATTTATTTTGTCCATGTTTTTCTTCTATAAAAATCTTTTGGGTGCTTGCAAATGGTACAGGTTATCTTAGCGGAATGCTCAAGAGTATTTGGGCCTTGGTGAGCTTCTATGTTATCTTGTAACTGCATGTATTTCAGCATTTGGTCTTTCAAAAAGCTGTATAATGTTTCCCCACCTTCCATCCCCCATTTTCCACAAACCCACCAATTGTTGTAGAAGTTTAAGTGGCATTTGAGATTGAAAAGGCTTGAATGTGCGACTGCTTTTCTATTGAAATGTAACTCTTCATTGCTTGCAATAGGATGGTTGCCCATGCCATTGAGTTGTTGACCACTGGGAGTGATGAAGCAGAATTTCTTCTACAGGAAGAACGCCATAGCTTGGGGGGAATTAGTATAGCAGAGTTACATCGACTTGTCTATGCTCAAGTTCTATCATCACATCCATTGACTTGGCAAGTGAGTGCAATTTAGATAGTTCTAGATTGTTTTTGTTATGATTGTTAAAGTAGATTCATGATGTTGTGGCTTTCAGCTTTTCATGTTTGGTGTTGTTGTACTCCTGAGTCTTCATAATCAAATAAAAACTTGTAGGCATTTAAAATTTCTAGCCTAGCACACTGAGTCACCAATTTTATATCCTAGATTTTTAGTGTTGATGATTCTTGGTGGCTGTCAGCTGAAATGCCTGTCAATTTTCTGTTTCAAGTGCGCTTTGTTTCTTTTGACATTGAGCTGGTAAAACTCAGTGCACGCACTAAAGATGCTGACAGTTTGATGCTCTCCATGTTTGCAGATTGCTCCAATTTATTTGACATCGTGCATGAAACAGGGAATGGGTTTGTTAGAGATTCTATTGTATAAGCTGCCTATTCAACATAATGAAACACTTCTTAAGGTTAGAGGTCCATATTTTAGTGCCAAAGTTTGTTGTTACTAATGCTTGCACAGGTTCTTTTTTCATGAATCTTAGTTTCTGCTCTTTATGTGTATATTTGTGGCTGATAGAAAATAACTTTGTTTTGAACTTTTTGTGCAGAATTTAGAGATATGCCGACTTTATGAACTTGATACCGTTAGTTCAAACATTATGAAGGTATGTGTAAATTTGGAAGGATCATCGTTTCTGTTCATACAAAATTATCATCAATTTATGTACTAGACTTTTTATTTCATTTCGGGTTATTAGTTCTATTAGTCCCCGAACTTTGACCCGATTTGCATTTGGGTCCCTCAATTTCCAAAATCGTTCCCGTGGTGCTTCAACTTCAGTTTCGTTAGGACAAATGGTCATGCCATCAATTTTGTTATATTTTCCGTCAAATGCAGGGGCAAAATAGTCTTTTTATAATATTTTAAATTTCCACCATCTGAATATTCCTTTCACCCCAAAAAAATTAATAACTAATCCCCCTTTCCCCAAAATTTCTTCTCCCCTCCATGACCATCATGCGCCACCCACAAACCTATCCCCCCAAGCCCCCACAGCCACCCTCCACTCCCAAAACTCTCTCTCCCAGCACCCTCCACCTACCCAGCAATTATTGCCCAACCACCACAAAAAATTTCTCAAGACACCCAAAAATATAGCCCCCCCATACCCCACCACCACCTGCAAGCTTCAACCTCCAAACCCATCCCACAGCCACCCTTGGAGAGTGAATAAAGAGATTCATTAAAGTGGGGTTTGTCCTTTAATTAATTCGAGCTTTCAACCAAATAATCTGTTTGGGTTTTGGGTCAGGTAGCACAAATCAAAGAGAGTGTTGAGACAGAGGAATAAAGAGAGCAAATTGGGTTTTTCCTTTTTGTGCGAACTTTTGATTACCAATCTGTGTGGACCTGCAACCCTAAACCCTAAACCTGCAATGGTGCTGGGAGGAAAGGGGAAGAAAGCAGAGGTCGGGGAAGGGGGTCAGTGGTGGCTAGTTAGTGGCGAGAGGAAGAGTGGTTGTGGGATGGGTTTTGGGGTTGGAACTTGCAGGTGTTGGTCATGGGGAATGGGGGGAGAAGAAGTCGATTGGGGAGAGAGAGTGAGAGTGAGTTTTCTTTTTTTGGTTTTTAATATTTTTGAGTTTTTTAAATTAATTTAAAATTTGAACAGTTATTTATTTATTTTTTAATCCACGTGGTATCCCCCTCGGCAAAAAAATTTACCCCAGCAAAACTATATGAATATTTTATTACACCTAAATATAATTTACCCCAACAATTTCCAATTTTGACCCTCAATAGTACACCATGTGCCATGCACATGCTCAAATTTAACAGAAAAGATAACAAAATTGACGGCAGGACCATTTGTCCTAACGAAACTGAAGTTGAAGGACCACAAGAACGATTTTGGAAGTTGAGGGACCCAAATGCAAATCGGGTCAAAGTTCGGGGACTAATGGACCTAATAACCCTTTCATTTTTCTCATAATTATTCAAGGTTGAGTTTGCAATACATTTAGGATTTGTGTTAAAAGGTTTTCAGCTTTTAGATTGCTGGCGTGTACCATTGGAAGCATGGTAGGAAAGGTTCTGGAGTTTTTTGGCTACAGCAAGCCAGAGATGAAATTCGTCTTAGCAGGATTGCTCAGCATTTGTTTGATTCAGTTGGAAAGTCAATCTCTGATGAAAGTTTTAAGGTAAAATGTTATTGATTTGCACACATGTCAAATCTTGGTATTAGAAAGAAAAAAAAAACAGTTTCATTTTGGGAATGACACATTTTTTATCGTTTGTACATACAGCAATGGGAAGGCTTGATTGAATTGTTGGGTTCAGAATCCAAGACTACGGGGGGTCTTGAATTTTTGCACAAGTAAGAGTTTGTGTGACCTTTTCTCTTTATATTTTCGTGAGCAATATCATTATCCTCATCAACTTTTTATGGAGATCTTTTCTCTTAAACTTTTGATGTGTTCTAGGTATCGGGACTTCAAAAAGTCCCTTAAGCAGGTTTATGGTGGAAAAACTACTGACACTGCTCGGCAAGCTGTAGAATCTTTGATATCGGTTAGTGTATAACTTTTATGTGACTGGTGCAGCTATCATCCTACATAAACATACTGCTTTACATGACGATCTAAATAATACTGCACCTTGTTTATGAAAGAGTCTATTCCAACGAGTCAATGGTCATATATTTGAGGGTTCACCTATTATGGTTGAAATTATAGTTATTACTAATAAAAGACAAGATGCAATTCTATTTGGAGTGACTTACCATTTCCAAAGAAAAAAGTTTTTTGTCCCTCTGTTTGTCAGCATCTATACTTTCCAAGACTTAAAGTAATATAACTTTATTTATTATGATTCTGCAGCTTATGAAAAACCCATCTACACCTCAGCGCTTTTGGCTGCCTCTTCTGCATGACTCGGTAAGTAATTAATGGAAACGTTTTGGAGAAATTTGATAAAGAATCAAAGTTAAAGAATTCACTGAGTTGGAGTTGATTGTGCATTTGATACTATTGCTATTCCGGATTCTGACATGTACTTGATGTAATAGGTTTAGATTAACCAGATGCTTGATTGTGCCGATATATTTGATGTTATGTGTGTTACATTCTTATTTCATTTGCATTTGGATTACTTTTGTGCAGTTAAAGCTGCTTAACTGGCAGGAGCGCCCTCTGCTAAATGTCTTTCAGACAAGCCTCTTGTTGAATAAACTGCAAGAGTTGTCCATGGCTAAGCTCCGCCCTGACTTCATCGAAGCAGACTTGCCACCACAGGCCCTCAGTTCTGTAAGATTAGCTCTTGCTACAAATCTAGGACGTGCCATCTTGGAGGAGTAAGCTTGTTCTCCCAGCAGCTCTGAGATGTGGATGGTTTTTCGTCAGACATCACATATCCGCTGCTTTAATAGAAATGTTGCAGAAATTTTCAAAATTGTTGTTTGTAAATTTGCTTATGTATGAGTAAAAAGTTCAGATTACAGAAAATTATCTCATCGCATCCAGCTCAGAAGAGAGGGTTTTTCTTGCCTTACTCCGTTTAGTTCATATTCTGGGTTATACCTATTTTATCTTAAACTTAAATAATAATATGAAGAAAAAGAATTATCTTTTTGGCCAAAAAGATAATACATTTTTTATAAAAAAAATTTGATATAGAGGGAATACAATTTTATCTTGGCGCGTAGCCCGACTTTGGAGATGGATCATGGAGTCGTCTTTATCTCGTCCTAAGAGGAAAGAACGCCACCCATTTTGTGCTGGCATCCAGCTGGTGTATTAATAAAGAACTAATTTGAAAATTAATTAGTCAAAGAGTCGTTTTGTAATGTTTTCTTTTTCCCTCTTTTTTATTTTGGTGGAGAAGAAAAACTGAAATGAGAGATGCAAGAGCTGAGGAAGCAAAGCGGAAAAACACAAAAGAAAAAACATTTATTTTATTTTATTATGTTGTGAGCAAAATTATGACATTAACCAAACGAGAGATGAAGACTCCATTTGCAATCAGCAACAGCCTCACTTATTTCGCATTATAATAATTCTATAATACTGGGAACAACAGAAGGCTGCTATACTTTTTTGAATACAAGCAATAGTCTAAACTACAAAGAGGATGAGGATTTCTCACATACTACTAAAGTGTCATGAGGATTCAAAACTAAAATCACCGGTCTGCAAGTCAAGATCCTTTTCCACTAAGCTAGACCCTGATTAGCCAACCACACTATACTTTTAAACCAACAAGAAAACCAACAAATGATATTGAACTCAAACCTGGAAACTGACAAATATATAACATCGGTCGTTTAAACATAAAGCTAAAAAATACAAAAAATAATTGCTGTGCAGTAGAGCATTAAAAAAGAAAAAGAATACATCAATTGGATTTTATAGCCTCTAAACGACGAAAATGAATGAAGAAAAAAAGAATATTCGACCTGTAGTAGTCTGCCTCCTTCATCTGCTCCAAACTTCGTGTCTTAGTCTTAGCAAACTGCTGGAATATACCAAACACTCAAGAATTTACTATACAAGATGATCACTGCCACTGCCTAAGGCGGCAAACGCCTCTTCCCCCTCTGCTCACAAATGCATGAAATTGGAAGCATCTCGGCACAGTGATCATCGCTCCGTACACTAAATACAAGCACTGTCGAAGCCCCTAACAATGTTATGCAAGCCCTTGCCATGCACCATCCCCCAAGGTAATTTTAGAGTTTCTTAGGCAAATTGTAAGTCTTCTTAAGAAACTTGGTAGCTGCTTCATCATTCCTGTAGCACAACACGCGTAGGAGTGTGTTTGGTTCAGTTGGGTTCCACTGGCCGGAAGTGGGGGGCAATGGGAGTCTGGACCTGGCAGAAGAGCCATACGACTCCAAGGTCACACGTCTAAACCGTTCAACAAGGCTCTCAGTATCAGTTCTGAAAAGGGGAAGTACACCTCTCACTGTAGTTGAAAACTTATCTATCAGTTCTGAAGGCAAGCCATCTCCATTGGCCCAGAATAGGTCTTTAAGGGATTTGAAATCGTCCTCTATTATTTGCGAATCTTGCCGGACGAATGCACGGGAGGGACCTCCAGCAAGCAGAACCAACAAAAATCCATCAAAGGAAGCTCTCATGATATCAGTAATAATCCGTGTACGAACTCTTTCATGCAGAGTGTTTGATATGATAAGTAAGTTCTTTTCCAGTTCGTCAAGAAAAGGCTCTATTCTAGAAGATGATGGTTCCCCAACATACAGGCCATCCCACAGGACATGACTTAGGTCATGGAAAATCATTTTATAAGCCACTGCCTCACAAAGCTGTTGGATTGCTTCCACACAAGCCGCTGGTGTGAGTTCAAACTTTTTCCCCAATCCATTCGAGAAGTCTTCTACATGAGCAGATTCAGAATTCCTTAGATGAGTAATAGTACGTTTCTCCAAAACCTCCAACTCACTCCGGATTCTTTGCAATGTGTTTATACGAACACACAGCTGTGGTATTCCAAAGGAGTTATCCCCGTTGAGTGTTGCAACCTGAGAGTTCCTCTTTTGAGGATTTGGCGATTTTTCTTTCTTTTTGCCAAAGCCTTGGAACTTTGATCCCATAGTACATCTGGTCAATGCTGGCATAGTGGGAACAAATGTATTACGTGATCCTGCATATCAGAATGGATAATATTGGTTATCACAAATAGAACATACCTTGATCCACGTACAAATAATTTGAGTTACAAGATTCTTTACCACATCCAGATTTTGCTTTGGTTACGTAGTATTGAAGACATCTGTCGAGGCCAACCATCAAGTCAGGAAGCAATGCAGGATGCATTGATATTGGCAGCTGAAAGAACGCATCCAGAGTTTCATCTAAAATTCGCAAAACTTCAACAGCAGATGGAGCATAGCCTTCTTCATTTACTTGTGGGTTCCATACCTGTAACATTGCAATGGATGAGGATAGCTTCAGGAAAGATGTCAACACAATTCAAAAAACTGTATCAAATTTCAATTCAGGCTAGCAGAGGAATAGTTTGTGCACACCTCTTGTTGCAGATTCCTATCCACCCATTCTTTCATTCTGTCCACTCTAGTCTTGATCCACACTTTTACCAGATTTGCAATTGCAGCTTCAGCCTCATAAGGGGGCATTTCCCGAATTATTGCCTTGCCACCATCATCACTATCTACAGAATCTTCAACCGCTATCAGCACAAGATCTTTCTCCAGCTTATCTGCAGCTCTTAAAACTTGTACAGCATCTGGTGTCAACTCCGTTATACCCGATATGAATTGTTTAATCTCATTCGCATAGCAAGCATGAAGGGTTGCCACAGCCACTCCAGCCGCAAAAGGATGCCATCTCTTCAGTATGGGACTGAACACCTGCTTCTCCTTAACTGCCAGCTCACCAACGTCCTTTGCAAGGATGGCAAGAACGGGAAGGGGATTTGGCTGGTGTCTTGATGCTCTCCTGCTTGAGTCTGCCTTTTCCATTCTCTGCATAATAGTAACCAAACATATTTCAGGTCATTCATCTAACTTCTAAAGTTTAGAATCTGTTGCAAAACATTGTAACGAAAATCTTTAGAATTTCACATAGAAAAATCACCTACACGCAGTGCACAAACTTTAGGTTTTATGGTAGATAACAATTTGGAATTCAACTGTCATGCATAATTTTTTAAATTACTGTTCCTTATTTCTTTTAGGCCTTCCACAATAACGGTTTACCGTTATGACATATTCATTGTACTTTTCCCTATTACTGAAGGGGGGATGCCAGTGGCCAATATTGAGGGCTTACCTGAGCAAAAGCAGTGCGTAATGATGACCTAATGTAAGTGTCAATCCTGTTGCGAGCAACATCAACTTCACTTTTCCTCCTCCTCCGATACTCATTTGATATATCTTCAATTAAAATTTTAGCTGCTACTACCCCCAGAGAAACAATGGCCTGCATGGTATCAATGTTACTGCTGTCAAAAGTGTCATGATATGCAAGGAGTCTCTTCTCTGCCCAACCCAATATTGAAGTCAATGTCGAACTCAAGATCTTGCAGTATTCGGGATCCTTTGTTGCCTTTGAATCTTTAGCAACCTCGGCTAGCTGACTATCAGCAGCATATAACAGGTCCAGTTCAACTTGGCCAGTTGCTACAAAGCGGTGAAATAACACCCAGGTAAAGCAAAGGTTGTGGAGCATCTGGTTCATTCCAAGGATTGTCCAGGTCTTCTTAATGTGCTCCATCAGCTCGTCAACTTCGTCTATTACAGATGTTTCATCGTGAAGATCAAAGCAGGCTTCTAGAAGCCTTTCATAAAGCCGGAGATTCAATGGTAACCCATCTGCCCAGTGGGATGAATCATAGAGACCATCAGATGACCTGGAAGCAAGAGTTGTAACAGCACTACGAAGAACCTGCATAGTCTCATTATTTATCCCGGTTTCAAAGGGCCTGTCCAATGCTCCATGAATAATTTGCCGCAGCCGCTGTGCAGTATTATTCGACTTGTCGAGTGGCAAGTGGGGATGCAAAAGGAGACCGGCCTCAAGAATTTTGAGGGTTCTTTTCTGCCATGCATCGTATTCTTGTTTATCAGTAAAATCAGAGGACTTGAGCTGCTGTAAGAGCTCCAGTGGAACTACCACTGACTCAATTCGCCTTCCTACCTGTAATCAGTACATCAAACAGAAGGCTTGATTAATTACAATTCCAATGCAGACGGCCATTCACAAAAGTTAGAAATTACCGACTATGAAATTAAACCTGTGTGAAACATTTTGCATTGTCAGTTTTTGGGTTATAAGTAAGAAAAACCAAAATCCAAAATTAACCAAACCAGTAGCAAAATTGAGCTCCATATCCATCCCATCATCACAATTATCACAAAGATAACAAATCAAGCATTACCCACCAAACAAAATCAGACCCATCAAACGAGATCAACCAAGATCACAAATGAGAAAGCAGGGAAATTGAGCTCACCTGAGCAGCAGAAATCCTAAGCAGAGCTCTCCTGACTCTAGAGTCCATGGCGTCAGAAATCCCCATTTGGATCCTCATCAGCTCACCCACCGTCATAACCCGCTTGGGCTTTCCGGGTCCCGACCCGGACCCACCGGAACCAGGACTCTTCTTGGAGCCCGAACCCGGCGATTTGAGACCCAATGCCTTCTTCATCTTGCTGGCAGCTGCGGAAGTGAGCGATCTCTGCAACGCCGGCGAGCCGTTGGGCGAGTTGGCGTGCTGTGTCGGTGAGTCCAAGTGAGAAGAAGCGGAAGACGACGTGAAAGTAAGGGCCTTTCCGGTGGATGTGCGGCAGGCGGCTACGAAGATCTCGTATGCGGTGAGTCGGAGGTCCGAGTCAGTGAGTTGAGCAGCGAGCTGGCCGAGTGGGGAGGGAAGATCGGTGGCCATTGCGGTGATGGGTTTGGTGGGTATGCTAAGTGTTTTGGGGGGTGTGGTGGTTGTGGCGGTGGCTGTGGTCCCTCTCTTAGAATGGCCCAGTGAGAGGTCTCTGAAGAGATGAGCCATTGTTGAAGAAGATACAGAGGAGGAGGAGAGAGATGAAGTCCAAGGATTGGACTTTAGTTTATAGTTATACACACTCACACACAACAACACAAAAACAACAGACAAGTGTCTTTCTTTCTTTTTTTCTTTTTTTCTTTTTATTTTCCTGACTTTTTGGCTCAGTTAAAAATAATAATATTTTTTTTACTTTTTAAATGTGTTTTTTAAACTCTTGTTCTTGTGCCTACTTCTAGTTACCTCAGGGTTTTGGGTGCAAGGTGAAAGTCATATAGTGTGAATTGATGTGTCAACAAACTCAAACACGTACAGAGAAATAGATGGGTGGATATAAATAAATTACCCAGATGGTTATGAGTGTGAAGTTTCAACAATCCAATTCACTAACAACCAAAAAAATAATGATTGAAGACATCAAGATTATATTAACATTTATCGCTTGTATTTTTTTTTTTATAAAAAGCATGTGACAAATATGTGTGCGTATGTATATAGAACTGGAAAATATAATACAAATTTATAAATAAACCCAATTCTAGACATGTATTTATAAAAAAACCCAAGCACTATTTAAACATAGAAACACACCCAAAATCAACTCCAAAGTCAACTTTTTGGGTGTGTTTATAAATAGGTTTTGAGTGTGTGTAATGATGGGTTTTGGGTGTGTTTATAAAGTGCTTTGGGTGTTGGGTTTTTTTATAATTTCAACCTCCATTTTGGGTGTTTTAGTGAAACTCCCAAAATATAACTTGACATGAATTGAGTATTGAGGGGGAAAAATTTATCGTTTGTTGGACTCTGCAATTTTCTAAAGACAATAACATAACCTATAAGGCTGGAATTCACCACTTAAAAAAAATAGAGAAAATAATATAAGCTAGATCCTTGTATAGGCTTCGAGCAAATTCAACTATGAAACATTAAAGGGGATAATATACTAAAATTCACACGACAAGAAAATAAGTACATATGATAGGAAAGAAAATTACCCAAATTCATCTTCGCTTGATTTTTTTTTTTTTTTTTTTTTGTGTGTGCTGCTTTCTTACTAGTTTAAGTATTTATATTTCGTTTATTTCTCTTCGTATGCATCGACTCTCATCTTAAGAACATGACATTGTTTGAAACTTAAAAAAGTCTAACAACAGTAAATTTTTATTTTATTTTTACAATAGTGATATTCTAAACTACTCTACTGTACAGGGATGTATTCGAATTTGGATGCAAATGACAAAAACATTATATTGGCCAACTGGTCTAACTCACATTTGCACAAAGACAAAATTATTTGTTGGTCACAAAAAAGAAAAAGCATACTTATACGAGAGTATTTACTTAAAACCGTTGCATAAATAAATTTAAGGATTAAAATGACTTATCATACTTATTCAGTGTGTATTGAGTAGTATAAACACTGTATGTCATTTGCATCATCGAGCCTATGTCAATTCTATATTGTTTTTACTATTTTCACATATATATATATATTATTTATAGAATGGTCATGAAATCCTAATATGTAAATGTGCCATTGAAAAATGGTTCATTCGAAATTGCAAAACTTTGCGTGTCGGCCTTTAGCCCTCCTCTGTATAAAATAAAATATAAATAAATAAAAACCTTTGCTTGCTTCACAATTTGGAATCTACTGTGAGGACACAAACAAGTTCAAGAAGCCGCGTGAGATGCCGACAGTCTCTCGTGGTTCTGGGACTGAAAAAAGGTGGAGATGAAAGCTGGAACATGGAGGCAAGAGAGGTTGGATATGGACTGCTGTTTCCTTCTTTCGTGGGCTCCACACCTGCTTTTTCTCTTTGTTTTGTTATTATTTATACTTCCAGTACAATGCAAGTATTAAGAAAGTAATCACAAGGCAGAAGTGATTATGCTTAAGCACGGTTTTCATAAGCGTTTTTATTAAAAGTATGTATAATCTTTTATTAAAAATTCAAATGCTTCTTGAAGGGAATTTAGAAGTGCTTTCTAAATAATTACATTCATGGCATGGCATGACATGTATTTGTAATTGAAATTAAAATAAAGAGTTGAATTTCGATCATAGATTGCGCATGTGTTTATTTCATATAAAAAAGTTAGATTACAAGTGAGATTCACATGAACTTTTATATGGGAAGTTGTATTCTAATTTTTCGAGAACTAATTCATCAATAATTCATCTCTTTTACTTATTACCATTTATATCCCAATTTCAAATAATTTAGTAAACAACTTGAAATTCGAATTCTAACTTCTCCTTAATCAAACTCATCTTTAATTTAATTCCTCATCACTTGATTACGAATTAGTAAACAAACCCTCAAAGTTTTCTATAATCAGAGTAATTAGCTGATCAATACCATCATACAGTAGATCCCGTAGGCATCACAACAATTATAATTATTTTAATTGTTATTTTTTGTTATCCTAAAAAAAAACTGGAATGTGATTGCATGCATTATAATATTAATAATAAATGTCATCATTTGTATAGTCAAAGCAAAGGTTGCAAATTACAATGACAGTTGGTCGAATAATTATATCTGACTCACAATTTTAATACATTAATTAATAATAGAAAAACATTGGTGACTGACTGGTTACTACACGACACAATGGCACACATGGTTTGAGAATAGTCATATGCTGCTGCTCCTAATCACTCATGATGATTACAAATAATTCAAGAATAATTGTCATTGTCTTACTCCTCCTAATCCTAACCCTCAAACCTTCTGTTTTGATTCATTCTTACTTCAATTGAAAACTTTACTAAATAAAATATAATGTATAATATAATAAATTATTTCATTACTAATATCATCGAGATTTTTTGTGATAAAACATCATATTTATTAGACATTATAAGTGGTTAAGTTGATGACAATATCTGTGTTGCTAATAGTGGACTGTTGGCTCGTTTATCTGAAATTTAGCATGGTATCAGAGTGGGTTGATTGATTGGGCCTGAATTGGGCCTTTACGCTTATCCAATATGTGGTGTTCACATGTTGAGCTTGAATATTTACCTCTATCATTTACCCAATACATGATGTTCACGTATTGAGCTTGAATGATTAACTCTGATGTGAACTTGGCTCCACGTGTGGTCCACTATGTAGTGGTCCCATGTGAGGGGGCGTGTTGAAGAATAAAAAGTCCCATATCGAAAACTTTACTAAATAAAATTCAAAACATAATAAATAATTCCACTACTAATATTATCGAGGCTTTTTGTAATAAAACCTCACCCATACTGGATTTTGTAAGTGGTTAAGTTGAAGATAATATCGGTATTGCTAGTAGTAGCCGATGACATAGGTTTAACAAAAAACGAATAGCATGGGTTTAGCCTAGCTCTCAAACTCTCTATTAATGAACCCACACATCTCATAGTTTAGAAGCTATGTTTGTAACAGATTAAAGGTGGGGTGGCGTGGTGGTGTTTATTCCTTTTAATATTGGGGTAGTCTATTCTCATCTCCCTCATTTCATGTGAGCCTAAACCAAAAACCAGAGACATGTCTAAGCTGGGTGATGACGAACTAGGCCTCATCCTTAACTGGATCACCGACCTAAATGACAGACGATCATTTTCTGAGGCCTGCAAGCAATGGCTGAGAGTGGAGGGGCTAAATAGATCATCACTTCGTCTTCTCGAACCCGATGCTCTCCTTCAAGTCTTACCCAGATTCCCAAATTTAGTCACATTCGAAACATCAAAGTTCATCACCGACGCCGACCTCTCATTCTTGGCCCAAACATGCCCCAAAATCGAGGTAATCAACCTCAGTCTGAAAACTCCACGTGAAATTTCATACCAATTTGATGAAGTATTGATATTTGATAATGTTGGTGACGAAGGTCTTTGCGCTTTGGCAAAGGGGTGTCCCAAATTGTCCAAGGTTTTGCTCAGAAGGAGAAAGAATATTGGGAATTTCGGAGTTGTTTCGCTATTGAATTTAGCACATAATTTGACGTATTTGGATTTGGGATTTTGTAGCTTGGTATCGGACCAAGCCTTAGAAGCAATTGGGTCTGCAAATTCGATCACCGTCTTGAGTTTGCAAGGTTGTTCATTGATTACAGATCGTGGATTGGGGTTTTTGGCAAATGGGTCTTCCTCAAAAACCATGAAAAGGTTGAATCTTGCGGAGTGTGATAGAATCACAGACTTTGGGGTCTCGCTTTTGGAGCAAATGTTTTGCTTGTTGGAGCTGAATTTGGCTGAATGTGGCCCAAAAGTGACTGATATTGGAGGTCTTTCAATTGCTGCAATTCAGTCTCTTAAAAGATTGAACTTGTCATGGCTGGTCAATGTGTCAGATCATACGCTTGTTGCTCTAGCTGAGAATTGCCTGAATTTGGAGATGGTTGATTTAACTGGTTGTGATTTGGTAACTGGAGCTGGCATTCGTGCATTTGCAGGTCACAAGTGCTTAGAAGCTCTTGTTCTGCGTTCTTGTTTCAATGTTAGTGACTCTGATGTGGTACACACTGTGCTTAGATGCCAGTTCTTGAAGTCTGTTGTGTTGGATAGAGGACTGAGAATATGGATGTTGCCTCAGACACAAGAGAGCATTAGCAGATTCGCGGAGTTAGTTTGGGCTTGAAAGATGGATGCAGCAAGCAGCTGAGTTGATGTGTTTTGGGTTGTGCTCTGCTGCTTCATGGGTTCAGCCAACTTGTATATATCAGTCTCTCAAACATCAGATGAGTAGTTTATCCATGTTGGAGCTTTCGAAGACCTTGGAGTAAAACTTATATCATGTTTCATATTCCTCTCTCTATTTCGAGATAGAAGAGAAAGGTGTATGAAACATGGGACAAAGAGAAAGGTGTATAAAACATGGGATATGGAAGGTTTTTGGAAGAATTTGAGATGTAGTGCTATAAATTCGCAGAACATTTTCACTTTCAGTGGATGATTGGATTCTACCAACTTGTACTTTTAGGAGATGGGAGCTGTAATTGTTTATACAGATTCATATATGAAATCCTTTATTTGTAAACTTAAGAGATAAGATACCACATGCCTGTTAACTTTACCATTCCACTAAATAATGTGTAGGTTAAGCTACACATAAAGTTTGTGCTCAATTTGTTGGGGACAAAAGTAAACAATGATGGGTATGGCTGTACAGTTCCATTACATTGCATACATGATAAGTTGTTTGGTTTTGCCATCAAACATCAATTGATATGTTGAAGAAAGCTCTGTTTCTTTTAGGGTTTAGGCCAGCCCATCTGCACTGGTCGTGCCATGGCCCAATTAAGAGGGTATGATTACAAGGAGGCACCTGCAGCCTTCGATTATATTTGTTACAACTTCAGAATAATAAGAGGAGAAAATTAAAATAAAATAAATGGGGTCATCTTGTACATTGAGAGCCTTAGGTGCAATTCTTTACAGATTCACTAATGGGGTCTGCTCCAAATGCCCCAACTCCATGGCTCTTCAGTGTATACATATCTTCATCTTCTTCCCTCTCCTTCAATTCTGAATTGCACCATTCTAATTTTCGTTATGAAAGTTGAATTTGGAGCTCACTTTGTGGTTCAGGGAATGGCCTGCTGAGTAGAAAGTTATCATCTTCATCTTCAATTTCATCATTGCCTTCATGGATTTCGACCCACATACATGGCAGTGCTACTGTGACAAGAACCATATGGACCGTCTCTCCTCTCTCTATGGGCAGACGTTCCAGCAAAATCGCTGGCCGAAAGGTACTCTCTTTCTGCTTTGCCAGTTGAATGCCACCTGTTTGATGAAAGTCCCATGTCCGTGTGTCAGCGTTTTGTAATCTGTATAATGTCCTAATATAGTTCAAGGGTCATTTGATTTGTTGGGTTTATTTTGAAAGGTTTGTCAAATTGGTAATGCAGGGGGCTCAAGATGCAAAGAAGGCAAAGCTGTATGCGAGGATTGGGAAGGAAGTTGTGTCTGCGTAAGTTAGTTGCTCTCTCCGTCTTTTTCTTTTAGCGACCTTAGCACCGAACCACTGCTTATTTCTAGTTAGGATATTCAGTCTGTCAAGAGACAGTTTATCTAGTTGCTGATTTAGCATTGGTCAAGCTCGAATCTTGATCTGTATAAAGACCAAAGTAATCTCCTAATTCATAATTAATGAGAACTAAATAAAGTTTCATAGTTTCAACAACGAGGGCTAAGGCTATCGGGTATTGTACTCTGCCATTCACTTTTGGTGTGCCAAAATGGTGCAGTGTAAAGAAAGGTGGTCCAAGTCCTGTATCAAATACGGCACTAGCTACTGTGCTGGAGAAAGCCAAGGAGCTTGATGTACCCAAGGAAATTTTGGAGCGCAACATTAAGAGAGCATCTGAGAAAGGACAAGAAGCTTACATTGAGAAAGTATACGAGGTTTGTTTCATGCTATTTACTAAATATTTTTTGGTTCCTGCTTAAACGTTTCATGTTCATGATTTTATTGGTTGATATTAAATAGTTGACTACATATTCTGCTTCTTGTGTCAGGTATATGGATTTGGTGGAGCTAGTATGGTAATTGAGGTTTTGACCGACAAAATAAACCGATCTGTGGCAGCAGTTAGAGAGGTGGTGAAGGACTGCGGGGGAAAGATGGCAGATCCGGGATCTGTTTTGTTCAAATTCAGGCGTGCTCGGGTTGTAAACGTAAAAGTTTCAGATGCTGACAAAGATCAACTCCTTTCCATTGCTTTAGATGCTGGTGCTGAGGATGTTATTGAACCGCCAGTATATGAATATGATACTGAAGAAGATATGTCAGAAAGGTAATTCCACTAGAGAGCTAGATTGCTCATGTGTTGTAGTTGTGATCTTAACTCTAATTTCTCTGGTTTTTCTTAACCAATATATGACTCTGCTAAATTGAAATGATCCAATAAATGAGTCTTGACCCATTTCACTCTGCCTGCAAACGCAAGATTTTCACTTCTGATAATAGATTTCATGCTCATTAAATGGGAGGCTCAGCCTAACCGGTATGTGTTATAAAGTAGATTATGTATCCAACCATTTGTGGGCACTTGGTTCAGTCAGTGAAAGGTGAATCTATGCATATTCTCTTGAGAACTTAGATGCTTTTATTAGAAAAAGAAGAGAGTTGTGGACAAACAAGCATGCACGCACACATACACACAAATAATTGTGAAGTATTCTCCTTTCTTTATACAAAATTCTGATTTTTATTTTGGTTTCTGGTAGCTATTATAAAATTGTAAGTTCAGCAGAGAACTACTCTACGATACTTTCCAAGCTACGTGACGAAGGAGTAATTTTTGAGACGGATAATGGTTCTGAGCTACTTCCAATAAGCACTATTGAGGTGTGTCCCTGATGCACAGATGATTGTTATGACTTTGATCTCTTACAAGGCTAAAACTTCTGGTCTGATGCAGGTAGATGACGAGGCCTTGGACTTGAACAAGGAACTTATGTCCAAATTACTTGAGCTTGACGATGTTGATGCAGTGTATACTGACCAGAAGTGACCAAAATCTCTATCTTTAGTCATCATGTAAGCGATTGAAGAGCTATTGGCCTTATAATACATCTATCCGGTTCGTTTTCATTTGACCTTTTCTATCTCGAGGAAAGTATCTGTCAGATCATTTAAAGAGGAGAGAAGGATAGGGGTTATTACCTTTCTGTTCTCCCTAGGAAGAAATATTGATCTGCTGTATTTTCATTACTAGTGAAATTATGACGAAGAAGAGCAAAAATTGAAATATGATTTGTTTTGGAGAACAAAAAAATTCATGAATCACAATATAAGATTTGAATCTCTCTCTCTCTCTCTCTCTCTCTCTCTCTCTCTCTCTCTCTGTGACGCACACACAGAGGCTAAACTTGTCAAGAATCCACGCTTGCCACCTTCAAAACGAGAAAATTTTCACTCCAAGACATACCTTTTAATTTTCTTCTTTGTCTTGTTATTTTATTTTTTCATTTCTTCCTGCATGTATGGGTCGTCCGTCAACGTTAATTTATGAGAATATTGCCTCCACCAACTTATGACTGGTGGCTCTACAAAATTGTTTTATGCGGCAATTGGTTTACTAATTAGAGCATCTAGATTAACAGAGGATGTAGTTGGTAAAGATGTTTTTTTTGTTTTTTGTTTTGTTTTGTTTTGATTGGTTGAGTACACGCGATGGGAGAGGGGGTTTCAGATAATGTAAAGGTTCATGTTTGCTCCTGCTGTAATTATGAAATAAGATGGTTTTAATAATTAATTAACTTGGTGAAGGCGTTGGCAAGGTTACAAGGTCGCTGAGAGGCCCCACAAGCATAAATATATCCCTCTTCCATGGAAGAAGGCTTATGCTGCAATGTCCATCCCTCTTCCATGTCATAAACTGTTGTCGTACTTAGTTTGCTTTGTGCCTTAATCATATAGTTTAATCAAGCTCGTTAATGTACTTGCACACGATTTAACCAACAAATATACTGATCGAGCTTTCGATACTGGGACTTATTACATAACTTGCTTGCAACACTCGCTACAAATAAATATATATATGAACATATTTATCACACTACTATATATAATATATGAGACTACTTAGGCTATATATCCGCATGTTATTATTGTGCGGACGTCATTGTAAACAGGGAGGATATCAGGGAGGGGTTGTAGAAAATACATGATGTCCACACATCCGCATAGGAGAAAATCTGTTTCTATGTATACCTAAACCATGAGCTATACAATCAATGCAGTCCAAGTAGAAACATTTTCTTTTTCTCCTGGCTAGCCTCTGAAGTAGAAGTCGTATGAACTATATATCTAGCTCTTTGAATATATATTCACTTTATTTGGAGGGAACCCAGCATCCATGCAGCCCATATGGAAGGCCATAGGGGAACTTAGCTCTTGCAATCTCTTGGAACGTGGATCCATCTAATAACAGTGCATACCCATCTCCATTTTTCCCACTAACCATCGAGATTACAACTCCTGCAGCCACAAAAATTAAATCATTAATAAAACCTTTTTTCCTGAAATAAATAAATAAATAATGCACAATATAATTAAAGAATTAATTAATTCTCACCATCATCTTCTTCGGTTGCCCCGGGTCGAGCCACAAAGAATGGTTCGGAGGGTACTGCCCCCTCATCATGCCAATTCTTAGCCTTCTTGTTCACCAAATCAATCTGCAATTTATATTTAAATTAGTAAACTTATAATGTTTGTGTACCATTAATTATTTAATTAGTTTGATTATATATGATATGCTATACCTTGGTGAGGGTGTTGGGGAAGTTGCATGGCCGCTGAGCCCCACAAGCATAAGCATATCTGTATTGTTTGCCCAAGTAGGCAGGGTTTATGCTGCACATGTCCAACCCTCTTCCATGTTCGTTTGGGTCTAATGCTGCTTCCAATTTTCCATATGCACTTCCATCAAATGGTATTCTAAACCTTCCAACCCTGAGTTTTTAAAAAGCCAAACAAATTAATGACCTAGCTCCACATTAATGTTAAGTAACATAAGATGTTACACGAATGAACTTTTTTACGTAAATTAGATTCACAATCTAACAACATGAGCCGTAATCGAAAAAATATAAATACCTAGCATCTGGCAATACATCTTGGCCAGTATATGAGCGTAGGTTATGTATCCTCAGCTTGTCCAGAATCGTTGTATCAGCGTTGTGCTCACAACAATCTGCAATGACCGCCGTCACCCTCCCATCCTCATCTTTTTCTTCATAAGCATTTATGAAATGGAACGTTATGTATAATGGCACTTCCACACTCGCCACCTACAAAATTAAAATTAAATCAACATCAATTTTGTTTATAAAAATGTATAACTAATTACTTCCATATGATAAAAATACAATCGCATATATAATTATCAAATAGAGCAAATCAGTAGGACTTACAATGTTGCCACTAGCTTTACACATGACATGCATAAATGCTTTAGATTCAGGGTGCCACTCAAACTTGTACAATGGTGTGGGCTCGGCCTTGAGCAAATTCCCAGCACAATATCTCAATGGCATTTCCGGTACAATTATGTAGTGCTCTGTCACCGGAAAGGAGTGCACCCAACCCGGTGCTGGTCCACGACTACAAGCAACCCGCCCAATCACCTTCCTCTCGTTGGTACCCGGTTCCATCCTGACTGCCAAATAACCCGGGTTGATCAAATCGGGTAGTAAAGACAGAAACTCGGTTTCTGTCACAATAGGATGTGCCGAGTGTATCAAACCCCCCAATGTATCACTGTACTCAAATTTCCCCAAAGTGTCCAAGGTGGCAGGGTCTATGACTATGGATCCTTTCTGGGTCTCCGTAAGGCACACGACCCGACCATCTGCGAGCATGACCACTCCGGTGTTCGCGTTGTCGGTCAGAGATGCCCCAGAGAATAGGTTGGCTAACTCGCCTATGTAGGATAGGAAATTGTCGGGCTTAGGAACCTCTGAGAATTCACGGTAACATAACTTTTGGGTCTTCATGGCAGCCTTGTAGGCCTCGGATTCAATTTGGCGGTGGCCGGCGATGAGGCGGCCGTCTTCAAACTGGAGTTTGACCAGCATGGCGTAGCCGTCAAAGAGGTGGCGGAAGTTGTAGTCCCCAATGTGCCATAGCCCTGGACCATTTCTTAAGTACGTCCCTTTCTGCATGTGACATTAATTTAATTTTATGACCTAGAGCTATATTTTGTACTATTGGTGTTCACAATTATTAATAGTTCCAAGGGATTAGAAAATAGATTTGGAATGTGACTCTGATACGTAAATTCAACCTCAAGTATAAAAATAATGGTAATAAAATAATTGAAAAGGGAAATATACTTTTGCCAGCCCCACGTATTTCTGACACATTATAATGTAAATGTGTGGCGACAATATGATGATCAGTTGATTAATTCATTAATCAGACGAGTTTAGCTTATAATTACAAATTATGCCAGCAAGAAACACACAGGTCATGATGGACAATCTTCTCTATCTGTGCGTGGTAGGCCTCTCACTCACGAAGCGATAAAGACTAGGAAGAAAAAGGATTAAAATAAGGTAAGAAGAAAAGGGTTGCTTTCTACAGCCTTCTTCTATTATTCCTGTTTCCTGCATAAAAATGTTGCAGACATACCCTATTTGGCTTACAAGATAGTAACTAATTTGGCTCCTTTATTTTGTACCCTATGTGTCTATTAGGATTGTTCTCTTATTAGTGTATTTGGCCTCCACAAAAGTAAAATTTTGTCTTTATAATACATAAAAGATGTTTATGTTAACGTACTATCAACTTAAAATCATTTATCAGACGAGATGATTTTTTTTACATAATGTACGGTTCAAATTCACAGTTTAGTGATATAAGTCTGACAAGAGGGCATTATAACCAAAAAAATTGTACGTTAAACTATTTGACCAATATATTAAATCTTTGATATAGAATAAAGAAGTATAAGTTAATTAAGTTATGCTCACATACCAGCCAGAATGGTATTTCTCCTTGGACAAGCAGCTCTCCTTCCCATCTCTCCTGCCGCACGCTGGTCCACGCCACGTGGCTCCGGTTGCCACTATTGCCGCTCTCTCTTCTCGGCAGCAGAGGAGCCACAGCTGGTAATGGCGGACTTGCGACATTCGTGGACACCAAGCCCCGACCATTGTGTTTCTTTCTAGTGTCACTCAAGTTCTTCTTCAATGGATTAAAGCCATCTCTTATATTTTGATTGGAGTGAACAGAAGCTGTTGGCAGAAAAAAGGAGTTTCCAGAAGTGCCGGAAAATGTTATGGAAGCCATGAAAGCAAAGACTAGCAGAGAGCCGAGCTAAGACTAAGCAGAAGTGTATTCAAAAGTGGGTTAAAGAGTGTGAGGTGTGATTGGTATTTATATATGTATAGGAGGGCCTGCACATAGGGCAAGTTAAATAATTACGAAACTATATATGCCACATGTCCCATGCGATGCGTTTACATGTTGGAATCTCAATGGGTGGAATTCCCTTTCACTACCAGACAAAACTTATTATGCCATAATTTTTTTTTAACATTTTCTGAGAAAATATCGAAATTTGAATCTATGGTGCGACTACCTCCAAGTTAACTAATTAATAAATTATGTCGGCCTTTCCCGAACAGTCACATGATTAACAAGTAATACACATTTGCTGATCAATATGTTTTAATTTTTAATTTTCTACATAATTTTTATGTGGAAATGAGCCGATAATTGGTCGCATAATATTCTCTTATTAGATATCTGATATGTTGTGTTAAAGTGATGGAATTTCTTGATGGTTTTGTATTTATCTAACCAATTACCATTACACCTGAATTTATATATATATATATATATATTCGTTAGAGTTTTAAATTTTTATTGAAAAATCAATTTATTTTTTATGAATCTTTACAGGTGTTCTGGCTTATTTCTCACGAACTTTGAATCAATTTGGGTTGAGTTTCATGCATTTGATCTCCACAATCGTACGTACATACAAGCTTGTTATTATATTTTTTTAATATTCTAATATTGGTTGATAGTATTTGTCTCACATTAAAAAGTTAAGAATCTAGCATAGACTTGTAAGGAATTTTACTATTTCTCATATTACCAATTAGGTTTTGGCGTGTAACCTAAACTTTTTTCATGTATAAGGGAAGGTTAGCTCACGCATGAAGTCAGATGGCCACACATACTCCATACTACCCAATTAAGTTGTCGACGTGTGGTTTGAAATTTTGCCACTACATATATTCTCTCTTTTTCATCATGCATGTTGAAGCATCTTTATGGGCATATGTTTTCTTCCTCTGGATATAGAAATCCTGCCTCGTAGGCATGTAGCTGCTTGGAGTGTCATACTTGCTGCCTGTGACGTCGCTTAATTACAACGAAACATATGAGAATATGGCCAACGGAAAATCCAAAACTTTAAAAAAGGGTATCTTTTGTAAGAAATTATGCGAATATATTTGTTAATTAATCACATCATCCCGACACCTGGAAGATTAATATATGTTCACCTTTGAATATTTTCCTCTGCATTTTTACCATTTTAATTTCTATATATATATTCATGCTCAATAATCCCACCTCGCAAATCTCTTAGCAAAATTAGATGGCATCGTGTAATGAGGCAGCCAGCTCGAACATGGCCTGATTTGTTTTATGATGAAATATATAGTACTCTTAATGTGGTAATTAATTATTATTATTTTTTAAAAGTAGTTACATTGAAAGAAAAAAACCCTAATGGGGTTCGATAGTGGGTGCCATAGGAGGAGGGGGAATCCACCACCGCTGTGGTGGGAACCCATTGGCGGTAATTAATTATTTCATTGCATATGATTTTTTGGTAAAACAAAGTGGATTACAACTTTCATTTCAAATCAAAGATCGATGCGATATCAGTTTTGTTAAGAATATGATTGCCACATATATATATTTGTGGTTCTGAAAGCTTCCACTGAAAATGTGGGATTGATCTTCCACCGAAATGCATCAATTCTGACGTATCCTTAAGCAAACAAGTCACTATTAGCTAGGATTATGGATTATTCGAATATAAATAAAAAAATTCCATACTCGCGAGTTTAATGTTTAAAAAAATTGGGATTTATCGCAATATAATTTGCGTGAAAATCCAGAATAGGAAAGAAAGCCTAATTTGCAAAGAAATTTTTTTATAAAAAAAAAGAAAAAAAAAGAAAAGAAAAGAAAAGAAGAAGAGACAAATGACGAGGAAATTAGAAACTAACATTATGGGTGATGAAATATATGGCCGTCCAAAGTGGAGGTGAGAGACAAAGTAGCCTTGTTTTGAGGTCCAAAGAAAATGATGATGTTTACCAATTTCCATGAACAATCCTCCATTATGTTTCATGATTTGAGTTTCATTTATATACCCCCACTCAAATACTTAGTCCATACCCATTTAGGAAAGTGGAAAACTCAACTTGATCTTAATGTATTTCTACTATAAGGGCTCTGGCCTCCCACTACTTAATTAGTTTCTACTTGATACCAATCTACTTTTCCAATTTCAACCTTTGCTTCCACATGGAAAACAAAACTAGTTTGCACCTCTTCCTAAAACTTATTATATGGCATTATATAGTTAATTATAAGGTTTAGTATAATTTGAGTGACAAGTTAGAACTAAGCGCTTGAGGGTTTGCAAGGGGTTTGATTAAGAGCATCATTTACCCTGCGTATGAGGTCCTAGTTAGGTTTGATTCCTCCCCCCCCAATTAATATCTCCTGTATGTATGGTTTAGAAACCGAATTTGGTGGAGGAATTTTCAAGGACGTACGTATGGTATGATGTAAACCCCAACTTAAATTATTTGAAAAATGATTAGTGGCCCACTTGAGCTCTGATTAATTAACTTAATAGTTGCCTTAATTCAAAATCATGTGTGGTTTTGCTATTGGGCGACTACAACTTCCTGTTTCCTGGTGAAATCAAGACCCTTGTAATTGCTTCTTCTGTCCCTTCATGCCCACATTGATTCCCACAGAATGTAAATCAAAGACTGACACAATGGCTCGAAGGTGGCGGACAAAATTAGGGTTTCCCCACAAAAGCAACACCTTGTTTAATTAAGCTTAATTAAACTTGTTAGTGGGTGGTCCAAAACCATGATTCTGGATGTGGCCGGTGCCTGATGCGAAGTGACGTGTCAGCTTCTCATTTTGCTAGTCGTTAAGTCAGCCCTTTGTTTTTTAAGCTAATTCAAGTCAATAAAGCAAACTGATTCCATTCATCGATTCGGAATTAGTGGGAAGAGAATCCATATTCTTATACACTTTGAAGCATTACAAAAAAGCGTTCATGATGAATCATTATTTCATAGAATTTCCAACGCGTACGTACGTAGGTGCTCTTAGAATGCCTTCTTAAGTAACACAAGTCCTGTATCAATGTTTTATAATGCGGGGTTGAAATATTCAGCAAAATTCATTTGTGCCATTGGTTTTGGTACCTTGCTGTATAGTGGGATGAGACTGAAGGTTGGATGTTTGAGATAGATATTAATTTGTCCCCAAAATAACTTGCTCTCTAGCTTCGGGAAACTAGGTGTAAGTCTGAGGTTGTCATCAAGAACAGAGATAGGATTATACGTGTGGGCGAAGGAGGGACATGTAATAATGTCAAAGAAATTATTATCAAGTATAGACCCAAGAGTAATTGCATTGGGGGGGCCACTATAATGGTTATATGATCTGTTATTCTTCAAAATATGAGATGCAGCTATATAATCCAATATGTATAGGAACAATTGTGGGGGGGCCAGGGCCATGGCAAGCCCTAAAGGTACGTAGCTCCATCCCTGGTTGTCATGGCGCCTCCACTCACACATATTCTTCATCATTTAACATCTAATATGTAAATATTTCAACAAAATTGAAAAAATTATGCTAATGACCCCCCCAAATGTATCGGTCTAGCTCCGTAACTGTACACACACACATATATATATATATTGAAAATCCATGAGAGAAAAAGTAAACCCCTTCATCAACATTCTTTATCATGCATTCTATATGCTTGAAAAAATAAAAGGGTCTTCTTCCAAAATATATTTGGAACGTTGTTAACTTCTCCAACATGTTTACGGCTTAAAAATTATAATTAACAATAAGCAAAGATTAAATCATAATTAATAGCCTTGTCTTTTTTTTCCATGGCGGTCAAATTGTGTAGCTCGATCGTTAGATGATTTTGTTTGGTAATGAACAACATTATATTTATCGAAGTGAGATGGGTCAGTTTTGTCTTTTGATGTATGGTTTTCTCCAGGTGTCTAATTTGCTGGGCAATGGAACACTGTATGGTGTTTGTATACATACGTATGTTTCTTTCGTAAAGCACATAATCGGTGAACTATGTCGTTTATGGATCCATGTGTATGTTTCTTTCGTAAAGTTAATCAGTGAGCCATGTCTGGTCTAGAAGAAGAGGTGAGGTGGAAATAGGTTTACAGGTCGAAGCTTATCCAGCGTCAAGAGAATATGGGGTGAGCCGCAGGTTAAAAAGTCACACTATTGATGATTGTGACTTGAAAATTGACAAGAGACAATAATAATATAAGTCTCCGTTTGGGCTTCTTGTTTTTTCATGGACAAAGAAAATTGAACTGCCAAGACTTTGTCTTGATATTTAAGAGGGAAATAAATACGGATACTTTCTCCATTTTGACACTATTAGCATGTCATGAGATGTTACTGCCATATCGAATTTATATTAGTTTCTCTTAAGTTGAGTTTATTCGGGATTAAATCTATTTTGAAAAACATATGGATTAACAATTTGGAAAGAAAACAATACAGATAAATAAGATCTCTCATAGGATCCATAAACAAGGTCGTGGTTATTATCAACAGATAAGCCTCCTTTAAGTATCTTATTCAAGAGCTTTAGGCAATAAGAACTCTATAAATAAATTCAAAAAAATCTTAAGCATTATTCATAACAAGAAAGAGTAGAGTGACCATCGGAAATAATAAACTACAGATTTTTCCGGATTAATAGATCTCTCCATGGTCTAAAAGTTTTTATTTATTTTATCAAACAATAGGCGAGGGGGAAGAAAGTTGAGGTACTATAATTATTTAACATGTGATGGGATTAAGGTTTAATAATAGTAGTTAGTAGCTAACGGGGTTTAGTCCAGTAAAAAATTGCTTTGACTTGTAGACTAAAGATTTCATATTCAAATCCCCAAGATATCATAATTGTGTGTGTGTATGTGAAATCCCGCTCTACTGAAGTTTAGACTATCGTTTGCACTAAA